AAAGAGAATGTGTCTCATACATTTGAGGTATTGTTTGAAAAAAATCGTAATGAAAATCTTGGAAATTAACACTACTGCCCTCGTTATAGATTCGTAACAATGGTCCGAGTAATCTCAAGTCCATTGATATTCTCGTCTCTTTGCCCATATCTCTTCTCAATCCATGGACACTGGAGAGAGAAAACTTGATTGACACGAGTAGTTTGACGATTAGAAGCATTTACGATGGACAATATTTCGATGTCGAATGGATGCAGAACAACACAGTTTTAAATTTGCATGCCGGAGACCCATTGCAACCAGTGCAAACTGACCCGAAATATACGGAAGGAGCTCTATCAACAACCAACGAAGTGAATTTGCCCAAGGCTTTGATTGGGGGCCGATCTCGTAGATCACTTGAAAATATACAAGACTCTCATTTTAATCCATATTCGCAAAAAGTCATCGAAACGAGACAAAGTCGCAGCTCAATTGCTACAGATCTATTCGACAAATCATTTGACCCAGATTTGTTCAGTGTAAATGACCGTATCTTGTCTAATCTGCCATCCAATCGTACAATTCATTTCGACTGTAAGGACTCAAATCAAGAATATTGCCTGGTGGGAAGTTTCAGGGTGTCCAATTTCAAAGCAAGTAATTCTCCTGTTTTGATCACGTTGAACTTTGCAATTGATATGGCGAAAATGGCCAGAATTATGTCGGGAAAGAGGGATATTCTGGTGATTCGGACATCGGTTGAATTCGGAGAAATATTCGACGATGACACGTAAGTTTGGCAAAATTTGATGCAATAGTTGAACTCGATTTAAATCAACCTATTTCTATAGATCCACAGTCCAAGTCGTTCAAAATCAACCGTTTACAGTAATTTCGAAATACGTGGACAATTCAACTCCTCTGTGGATTTATGTACTTTCGATTATTTTCGGTCTTTTATCACTGATTCTCATCTCGTACGCGCTGTTCAGAGTAAGTTGAGACCCTAACAATGAATTTGAAGCATTTTTAATCGAAGATTTTATTTTATTCAGTTTGGATTCTTCACACGTGGCAAAAGAGATGAATTGGTCAAACTGAAGCGGCAAAGCGAATTGATATCATATTGGGTTGTGCCGGGGGACGGCATGGATGATGATTGATAAAGAAGACCTTATTTTCGTTAAATTGTATCAATAAAAAGTGATAAAACTGAAATGACCAATTTTCTTTCTTCATAATCATCTGCAAATTTGAATGTTGATCATTTTAATTATGATTCCCACGTAGGTGCGCAACAGGTACACTCTGTGGTCACGTTTGACGTTTACTTTGCCCTGTTTTTATTCTTTACAACAACAAATCATACACATTCTGTGTAGTTCGGTACACTGTACACAGAAATTTCAGATGGCGCCAGCTGTATTAAATCGCTAGTTGCGCAGCTACGGATTCCCACAAGTAAATTGAACATCGATAGAAGATGTGCCCAACACATACACTTGACAAACAGATTCAATAGCTTTCTTTATGCACGTAATTATTAGACGCCCTAATTCATTTCTTCGCTATTTTAATAACTCTTTAAGCAAAATCAAATGAATCAGAATCATTTTGTTTTAGGATTTTTTCGCCAATGATACTACTATTTCTCTTTAAATTGTAAACCATGCCATCCGGTAATTCGAAAGACCGGTAATTTGAAGACATTCCGAATTTTTTCACCGACTTCTAGCTTGTTGATATTTGTTCCTCAATTTTCCTGATTTTTTATGTTCAATTGATGATATGACTCATAACGAATATTATCAGATTTTTACGGCCTTGTCGCATTCTTTTTTGTTCATATTCTAACAACGATTAAGGCGTTTCGCATTTGTTATTTGCATAATGACCATAGCTATTATGAAACACTGTTGTCATTATGACCAATTCATCTTCTTCTATTACTACTCGCATGATTTGCACTCAGTACAAGAATGAACACCATAGCTAGTGCAACAAATTTGAAATCACTGAAGAGTAAAGAAGCTATGCGAATTTGTGATTTTTTTCAAATTTCGCATTTCAGAACGTATTCGTTAAAAAAATAAATTTCATTTCGGTAATTCATGAGAAACACAGTCTATACCTAGGTTTCTACATTCGTTATTTAATAGTCGGATTGGTAAGGAAAAAAGCGACGACCGGTAAACCGTAAAGACAACAGCATAAAAATAGAATCAAAAATGATAAAACATAGTTCAGTATTTAGCTCGGTTTCTGTGATATTAGTATTAGTTTGTGTCCATGATGGCAAAGCATTCAATTTATCGCCCAAGCCAAACATCGTCTTACGAGAGCCGAAAACACTGGGCACTGGAATTCCAAAAATGCGTAGCTCATATTTTGGTTTCTCCTTGAATTTGAAGCAAAATAGGTGAATACAATGTGGTCCAAATTGTAACGACCCGGGTGATTTCATATTTAATATTGAAGATCAGCCTGAACATTGTTTAAGCGGTGATGAATAAAATTGGATTAACCGAAGTTCAAAATGAATTCATTTTCTGTAGTGTTTTAATCGGTGCTCCGCGGGCCCAATCAACGCTGGAAACCCAGCAAAAAATTAATGAAACAGGTGCCATGTATAAGTGCACATTTGATAGATCTCCGGCCGGAAATTGTTCACCATTCATTTTCGATGAGTTGGGTAGTCATAGTGAACCCAACGACAAATATACCTTGAATAATGAAAAAAAGGTTCGTGCCGAAATAAAACAAATTTGATAATGCAAACAATGATCATTTGGTTTTTATTTTTGATCAGGATTATCAGTGGTTGGGAGCATCAATGGACGGCAGTGACAGCGAAAATGATAAGTTTGTGGTAAGTGAATTCGTACAATAATTGTACAAAGAGGAATCAAAAAAGTGTGCTATGATTTGGTGTTGTAGTACACACGCAACGGCAAACAAATCATTTACGGCATTAATTTTTACAGTCAATATTTTGGAAACTCTTTCGAAAGAAGCATTTTATTGATTAAATTTTTGTCATATTTAAGGTATGTGCACCGCGTATAATGTCCGATCAATCACGTATATTTGAATACTTTCTTCATGGCATCTGTTATTGGACAACAAATACATCTTCAAGTAAACCAGTGAATGTGCAGAAAATAGCTCCACTGCGATGGAATGCAAGTCAGGAGATTAATGGTAGCAAAATATACTACTACATGTACGGAGAGCAAGGTCTGAGCGTGCATATCACGGAAAATATGGAAGAGATTTTGATTGGAGCTCCAGGTATTTTTGGTTGGAGCGGTTCAGTAATTCGTCACAAGGCAAAGCCGTTAGTTAAGGAACACATTTTTAATCCACGCAATGGACAGCAAACTAAAATAGAGTATGAAAGTGATATTCCGGATCCAAAGCTATGGAATCAAGAATTTGATTCATATTTTGGCTTTGCCGTTTCATCGGGATATTTCGATGGGATTGGAAGTTCCAAACTACTCTATGTTGCTAGTGCACCGAAAACAAATATGGCATATGGCGCTGTTTATATTTTTGATATAGTCGACTCACCTTCGACTAATAAAACCATTAAAATTTACCACATATTTGCGGGTCAACAAATGGGCGAATTCTTTGGATATTCTCTCCTCACCGAGGACTTTAATAACGATGGTTTCCCTGATATCGCCATTGGAGCTCCATATAATTCAAAGGCGGGAACTCATGAGAATGGAGCCGTTTATATCTATAAAAACGAGGGAAGTTCGTCGAATTTTGCATTGCATGCGGTTCTACGAACGGACTTTGAGTTTGATGGCCACTTCGGAACAACCATTTCGAAAGTTGGAGACATTAACCAAGATGGAT